GGATCGATGAGCAGGAGGAGGAAGAGGAGCGCCCATCTGGGATGAGGAATGGGGGAAGAAAAGTAGGGGGAGGAGCGGAGAGGAGGAGGAGGAGGAGGAGGAGGAGGAGGAGGAGGAGGAGGAGGTGGACGAGGAGAAGGAGGACAAGAAGGATAAGGAGGAGGAGGAGGACAATAATAAGACTGGTAATCGTAATACTACGGTTCATCATCATATAAGAAAAAATAATAATGGTGATGCTGAAGATGAAAATGACGACGATGATGATGATGCTGATGATGATGCTGATGATGATGACGATGATGCTGATATGATGATGATGACGATGACAATGATGATGGTGGTGGTGATGATGATGATGATGTTGATGATGCTGATGGTGGTGATGATGATGATGATGAGGAGGAGGAGGAGGAGGAGGAGGAGGAGCCCCCCACCCCAGGGCGGAAACAGGGAGTCCGCCGCGGGCGCCGCGGCGGCCAGGAGGCCGGCGGCCGAGGCGGCCCCGCGCAGCGGGCGGCAGCTGCGCCGCCGCCGCGGCGGCGGCGGCATCGCCGCGCCGCCGCCGCGGCGTGCGCCGCGCTGCGCAGCAGAGGCTCCGGGCCTCCCTAAGCGGTCGAGCCGCGCGCGGCCGCGGGCGCGCTCTGGGCGCGGCTGCTCCCGCGCGGGGGCGGGCGGGCGGGGCGAGCAGCGCGCCGGCGGGGCGGCTCCATGCAGAGGCACGGAGGGGCCTCTCCGGGCGCGGCTTTGCCTGGGGAGGTGGTCCGCCGGCCTGCGCCCGCCGGGTGCGAGGAGGCGCGCGAGGTGACTGTGAAGAGGCCCACAAGCACACAAATAAATACACACAGATACAGAGATGTCCTATCTTTTCCCATCTTTTCTGGGTTTCTGTCTCCCCCCCCCCCACTTCCCATGTTTCCCCATATTTTCTAGGGGATCGACGGTTCATTGTGTCTGTGTGTTTCTGCCCCTCCTGAGATTGGCTGTCCCCCTCCTCCGGCCCCCCTCCTCCATGGTCCGAGATCTCGTTTAACAGAGGGGGGAGGTCGGGACTCGTCGGCGCACCCTGTGAGACTCCAGAGCTTCCAAAGCGGCCTCCCGTGGCCTCAAGAGACGTTCCAAGACGGCCCCGAATCGCAGAACGGTTGGCCCAAGACGCCTACGATGGCTCCAAGCCGCCCCAAGACGCCTTCGAGACGCCCCAAGCGCCTTCCCAAAAGGGCCCCTCATCTGATCAGAGAGAGGGCGCCCGAGTGGTCTAACTCTGTCCCTGCTCGCGTTCGTCCGTCTCGGGGTCGTCTCTCCGGCGGCCACGCTGGGAGGCCACGCTGGGAGGCCACGCTGGGAGGCCACGCTGGGGGGCCACGCTGGGAAGCCAAGCTGGGAGGCCACGCTGGGAGGTCACGCTGGGAGGCCACGCTGGGGGGCCACGCTGGCAAGCTTGGAGAGCTCACCGAAAACGGACGGTGTGTCCGTAGCAGTTTCGGTTCGAATCCCGCCAGCAAAGGGCGCGTCGTGGCTTCTAAGAGCGCCGCCTAGCACCCTCTCTCTTATCCGCAGCTGTGGGGATTAGGTAGATTGTGTCTTGGGTTCTCGTCTCTTGAGCTTGCGACGCTCCAAGATGGCCCAAGAAGCCCACTAGACCGCCCCCAAAACTGCCCAAAAGATCCCTACAATGCCCGCAGGACGGCCCAAGAGAGTTCCAAGACGGCCCAAAGAGGGGCCCAAGACGTCCAAAGATCGCCCAAAGAGGGCCCCAAGACAGGCAAAGAGGGAGAACACGAACCGAACATCCGATCTTTCCCCCCAACAGGCCCCCCGAAGGGCCCAAGAAGCAGGCGGCCCAAACGAGGCCCCCAATGAGCTCCAAGAGGCCCCCAAGAGGCCCCTAAGAATCCCAAAAGAGGCTTCAAAACGGGCCCCAAAACGTTTCAAAACTACATCTAATAGACTCCGCCAGGCCCACCAACAGCTCCCAAGACGCCCGCAAAAGTCCCCAGACTGTGTCCACGAGACCCACAACGCCTCAGCCGTGGACTCCCCGCCTCTTGTGGGGGTTGGCGAAATGGCGCAAGCCTCTTGAGTGAACAGAGGGGGGGGGGGGACGTGCACTTTGAATAATACCCCGTTGGGGCCCCAGGGAGTCCCTTTGGGGCCCCTGTGAGGCACAAAAGGCGCCCCTGCTTTCTTCACCCCCACTCTGACCGCCCCCCCCCCCCGTACGCAACGCCCAGGGCCTTTTTGGACGCGGATTGCCGGTCGCTGCGTGCGGCACTCGGGCAACCACACGGTGACCCTACCCCGGCATGTCAGACTTCTCAAAACTGGAAGGGGCTCAAGACTTGCAGGATGTTGGCAAAGAAGCCCAGCGGGGGTGTCTGGCACCGTAGCTCCGAATGGACCCTGAGGGGTAGGGGTCGCAAGTGGTCGCAGAACAATAGCAGCCTGGTTGCTTGGCTTTGCCCCCGCCCCCCCGAGCCCCTCACGCAGCCGCGCGCCAATGGCCACACCCGCCAGCGCTACGTTCTAGCCGACGAACCAGGGCGGAGCTGCTTCGCCACCCGTGTCCAAGGGGCCCGTTTCCTGATCCCCGGGGCGTCGATCAAACTGACTGGGACAGAACAACAAGCCAGGAAGAAGGGGTCCAGTTCTCAGGGGCCTGCGCGCTTGGAAAGAACATCGCGACGTCGGGGACAGCAGTCTGAAGAAGTTCCAGCCTCGTCCCCGTGAGCGGCTGGATCCACTCCGAACTTCTCGCGCTGACGTCCGTTAGATCGCCCCGAGATCAGCGCCGTCGTCGTCGTCGTCGTCGTCGTCGTCGGGGCTTTGGTGACGGACGGTGGTCGTCGTAGTGGTCACCGTCGTGTCTGCCGCCGCCGCCGCCGCCGCCGTCGTCGTCGTCGTCGTCGTCGTCGTCGTCGTCGTCGTCGTCGTCGTCGTCGTCGTCGTCCTGATGTTCATCGTCGTCACCACTTTCGTGGTCGTCCTCTCGTCCTTTTCCTCGGGGGCCGCAGCAGTCCTCAGCATGGGAGCGCGGCCTTCGCACACGGGGTGCGCATCAGCGCCGTCGTCGTGAACGTCATCGCGGTCGTCGCGTCCTCGTCGTCGTCGTCGTCGTCGTCGTCCTCGTCCTCTGCTGTCGTCGTCATCGTGGCTGTCGTCGTCCTCGTCCTTCAGCTGGTCCTCCTCCCACCCCTCTCCTCGGCTCTCCTCCCCCTCCTCCTACTCCGACACTTCTGCTACTTGTTTTGTTCCCAGTCCCCATCATTCGTCCCCCTCTCCTCGTGCACGAGGATGAGCAGACATGAGGAGGGGGAGGAGGGGGAAGGAGGACGAGGAGGAGGATGGGAAACGAAGAGGGGTCAGGGAAAGTACTGCGGGAAAGAAACACAGAATATCGCCCCCCATCGCCAAATATTGATCGTGTCGTGTGCCTTCAAATGGGCGTCGAATCCGCCAGCCCCCTTGTGGGGGGCTACCAGGCTGCAGGGCGAAGGTTCGCAGTTTCATATACGAGTTGCAGCTTCGAGTTTCCACTGTTACAGCTCTGCTTCTTGCTGTTTACTGTTACAGTTCTGCTTCTAGCTGCTTGCTGTTCCTTGTTGATGGACCGCGCGAGGGGGGAAGCCCAAAACGATCATTTTTACCACGCCCTGAACGTGTTGTCTGAATTGCTGGGGTGGGTAAAAATTGGCACCCCTCACGCAGATCGGCGGGGTCAGGGTCCAACAACACAAGGGATTTCCCGCATTTCTGAAATCCGGTGGCACCCCCTTCACGCAGATCGGAGGGTCAGGGCCCAACAGCACATGGGATTTGCCACATTTCTGAAATTTTCTGGCACCCCTCCCGCAGATCGGCGGGGTCAGGGTCCAAGAACACATGGGATGTGCCACATTTCTGAAATTCGGTGGCACCCCTCACGCAGATCGGCGGGATCAGGGTCCAAAAACATATGGGATTTGACACATGTCTGCAATTCGGTGGCACCCCTCACGCAGATCGGCGGGGTCAGGGTCCAAAACACACATGGGATTTGCCACATTTACAAAATTCGGCGGCACCCCTCACGCAGATCGGCGGGGTCAGGGTCTAAAAACACAAAGGATTTGCAACATTTGCAAAATTCGGCGGCACCCCTCACGCAGATCGGGAGGGTCAGGGTCTAAAAACACAAAGGATTTGCCACATTGCTGAAATTTGCTGGCACCCCTCACATGGGATTTGACACATTCCTGAAATTTGCCACCCCTCACGCAGATCCGCAGGGTCAGGGTCGAAAAACAAACAGGTCCCGACACTGCTTCACGGCGGCGCCCAGACCTCATGATATAGCTTCTGCATCTCCCATTATCCGAGACAGGGGGCCGGCGGCATGGGGCGAAGCCTTTACGGATGAGTCCGTCACTGCCACCAGTAAAGCTCCCCCGCGGGTGAAATCATCAAGATCGCCATTCGCCAGACCCTCCCTCCACAGAGCCCTGCCGCATGCTCACGCATGCTCCAGGCTGATGCGCAGCAGCCCCGCGCCAATCCGCGGGGCTGCCCCAGACGAGCTCCAGCCTGCGGCCAGGACTGCTCTGCTCATGCGGTGCCCCGCCGTTTCCCGCAGCGGGCCCACGCAGCTTTCCTGCAACGGCAACGGTGAACAACGTGGACGCTCGATTGGTCGCCTTGTCAGAGCGCTGCACCCTCTGCGGTGAGAAGCCTGCAGCCGTTCGCCAAGCTCGATGGCCGCCTTCGCCTCCTCGACCAAGCGATCCGCGCTGCCACGTAATATTGTCGCACGCGACACATCGCACGCATACTGTCGACTCTGCCCGCCTTCGTCCGTACATCCACTGTCAAGACCGGGCCAACGGTCCCCCCCCCCGTATCCCCTGGGAATTTACAATTTACATGCGGTCCTGCCCCTATCGTTTTGTTTTAGTTCTGGATTCAAATGTATCGGCACCACCTTCACCATCGACGAATAATGCTGTGCACGCACACCCTTTTATCACTGATCATACGTCTGCAATGCGGAAACAAAAATCCACACGCGCGCGTCGAAGCCGAGCGCATGCCGCAATCGTTCAATTCCGCTGATCCGGCGTGTGAACTGCAAGGAGCCTTAGCTCTGAGCCTAAGCAGGAGCTTCAGCTCTGCTTGGGGGGGGTCGCCGGGGTGGCTCTGCCAGGGAAGGGGGGGAGGGGGGGGGGGCGGTCCCTATCTGGCGTTTTCTTAAATGGTTTGCGCATGCCCAAGATGTTTCGGCCCCCCCAAGGACTCTCCCCTCGGAGCCATCCCCGGCCCCCATCTGGCATTTTCTTAATGATTTGCGCATCCCCAAAATCCTTCTGGGGGTCCCAGATACCCCCCTCAGATCTAGCCGCTACCGCCCCCACGACCCTCCCCTCGGACCCCCCCCCGAACCCCCGGGACCGGTCCAGGCACCCCCTCAGAGGGCACGTCAGCTCCAAAAGCGCCCCCGCCGACTCCAAGAGCGCCGTCTCTCCCAAACAGCGCCCCCGAAGACTCCAAGATCACCGAATCCGGAGCCCCCCGGATCGGCGGCACTGGCAGGAGGCCATTACATTGCCTCTGAAGTCTCCCAGAGACTTCACTTTCGAGGCTCTCGAGGACATGACGAATCGCAAGCGGATCTCTCGAGGAATAGCTCTGCACGCGCGTGCTTGCAGACTTTTCCTGAAGCCATGGGTTTTGAACAGTCTCGTCAACTGCGCAGACGGGCCTCTCGTGCGCTCCTGTCGGAGTCCTTCGAACGCCCTTGCGGGTGTGCTGGGGGGGGAGGAGACGGGGCACGATCCCTCTCCAATCATACCAGGCGGGGTCACCCGCGCGCGTCGGCCGCGCGCGCATGTCGGAATCCTTCAAGAACTATCGTCACCGAGGCGTGGATGCCATCATCGTCATCTAGGGAGCACGCAAAGGACGTATGCGCCCAGCGATGTACATGAACACGGCCCCTCGATCTGCGAGACCAGCCGCGTGGTACGAACATTTGCGCAATGCGCACTCTCGAAACCTGCGTGGATTCATGTACGTGTACGTCCTTCTTTCGCTCCTGATCATCGGCATGATCTACAGCGGCGCTGTCATTGGCCTTGCCGTCGTCATTGACGTGATCGTCACCAGCGCCGCTCGAATCATTATCACGTCTGCCGTTGTCGACGTCGCCACGATGCCGCGCCCGCCCCGGTCAGCGACTCGCACCGAAGCGCCCGCGAGTCAACGCGGCCTGCGTGACGCACTGGGAAGTCACCAGCGGTCAGCGCCATGGTGGCCACATCGGTTGCCCCAGACAGCGCCAAGAGTCATCGCAATCGCCACCGTATGGGTTTTGCAAACAAAGTTGCGGGTGCGTGGGTGGGATGATTGCGCGAGCAGCGGAGTTGACAACTCCAAGTCCGACAGGGCGAATCGCACCACATTGACTCCACCACATCGACGTTTAGAAACACTATGTTTGGGGTCCACGCTGGCTACCATATGTCTATCTGTATGAATGTGAGTAGCAGGCGGAGTGTATTCTCTCTCTCTCTCTCTCTCTCCCCCATAGCACTCTACACACATCTGTATGCTACGTGAATTCATTCACGTATGTCCATGTCAGACTGTATATACACACATGCGTATACGCGCGCATGCACACATATACGACTATGTACATATATAGATTCTCAGGGACCCGCGCCTCCCCCGCCCCAAGTGGGATGGGGGGGGCGACAACGACGACGACGACGACGACGTCCGACGACGACGACGACACCGTCGAAGACGACAGCGAGGGCGACACGTATATTTCCCAACTGCTCTGTGGTGTTGGGTCCTCGTTTTAGGAGACAGCGCCACTCGTCACTCAATTCACCTCACCTCGCCTCGCCTTGCCTCTACTCAACCTCCTCCTCCTGCTCCTCCTCCTCCTCCTCCGTCATCCTCCCTTCTCCCATCCCTGGCTCTACCATCCGAACGCACATGTCGGCGCGCCCCTCACACGTTCAGTGGCCCCATAAGGAGGTCAACCGAAGTGCAAACCCAGAGACACCTGTCACGCATCAACCGGCACCGTGTGGGGCATCGCATCTGGGAGATCCCATAGCTAAGGCCGTGAAATCCACACATACACACACACACCCTCAGTCCTTAATCTGCGTCGTCGTCCTGCTCCAGCTCCTCCGCATGCTGAGAATATGCCTGCTTATCCATACATTTCCCAGGCTGCTGAAGGACAAGCCATAGCGAACCGGGCGACCCCCCAGCGCCAGCGGCAGTGCGCGCACTGCAACCGGAGTGCCGTCCAGGCACGGTTCTGACTGACTTAATTCTTTCGGGGGGGCCCAGCCCGTGTGGTGACCACACCGCGTGGTGAGTCAGTGAGGATTCGGGGTCACCGCACGGTTTTGGGACTCGGGTGGTCCTCGGGCGACCAGGGCTTCCGAGGTCCCAGGACCTTGCGGTGATGGACCGCGCGGTGAGGTCTCCTGGGATGTCGTGGTCGCCGCGCAGTCCGTCACCACACGCTTCCTGGGACCCCTGGACCTCGGTCCTTGCATGCCCCCCTCTTGCACGCACCAGGGCGTTGACGGGGGGCACCAGAGTATTTGGAGGAGCGCGCTCCACTACTCGCAGAGTAACTACTCGCAAATGGCTTGGACCCGCCGCCGGGGATTTACGATCTATTACATGGAGGAAGACATGTTTTTTTCGGACGCCTGCGAGTAGGCACTTTGCGAGTAGTGGAACGCGCTCGGTGATAGAGGCGGCCTCAGTGTTAGGTCGGGCATATCCTGCTACAGGCGGATTCTGGACAACAAAAAATACAAAAGGGCAAAACCAAACAAACGAATGCTCACAAATACCCCCCAAAATCAGCCCCTGACGATTTATGGACCATCTTTGAATTTTCCTCCTGTAGAGGGACGTGCCCGACTTCAGAGTAGTGGGACGCGCTCGGCAATAGAGGCGGCCTCAGTGACCCCCCTTCTCCACGCCCGCGCCCCTCTGCCGTTCCGCCGCCGGGGAGCTCCGGCAGGCCCCCCCCGCGCCGCAGCAGCGCCACGGCAGCAGGACAAATCCCCCCCGCCCAAGGCCCACACGGGGCTCCCACCGCGCCTCCGCGGGGGCGCGAGGCGGCGCCCCGGCGAGCCGCCCCCGCCCCCCCCCCAGCCCAGGAGCCCCCCCCCCCACCAGAGGGCTCCAAGACGCCCCGCGAGGAGCCAGGACGAGGACGACGACGGCCGCGACGGCGGCGGCGACGGCGGCGGCGATGACGGCGGCGGCGACGACAGCGGCGGCGGCGGCGGCGGCGGCGGCGGCGGCGGCGGCGGCGGCGGCGACGACGACGACGACGACGACGACGACGACGACGACGACGACGACGACGACGACGACGACGACGACGACGACGGCTGCCACGACGGCGGCGGCGGCGACGACGGCGGCGGCGGAGGGCGACGGCGGCGACGGCAGCGAGAACTGTGCGCCGGCGACGGCAGCGACGGAGATGATCGGGAGCCTCTCTCTGCCTGCTGCAGAACCGCCGCCCTGTGCCGAAGGGCCGCCGCGGGCGCTTCCAGTCTTTGGCCGCCGGGGCGGGGAGGGCTCAGAAGCGGAGCTTCTTCCGGAGGTACAGGACGTCCTTGGACGGCTTGCCCGTCTTGTCGGCGGGCGGGCTCGCGAACTTCTCCTGGAACGCCTGCGCGGCGCGGGGGGGCGGGGGGAGGGCGGGGGGAGGGCGGAGGAGCAGGGGAGGGGTCGTCGTCGTCATCGTCGTCGTCGACGTCGTCGTCATCGTCGTCGACGTGGAAGGGCAGTCTATGATGGTGTATGGCAGAGGCCGCCGTACTCGAAGACTTGGGGGGAGGCTGGGCGGCCCAGACAACCACTTCCGCCACCAGCCCCCACGAACCAAACACGGGGAACAAGAGAGGAGAGCAGCGCGGCGATATCAGAATCGCCAACTCAAATCAATGAAACTGGCACACACGCAAGCCGAGAGGAAAAAAAAGCAGGGGCGGAGGGGGAAGCCCGAGTGGAACACACGGACACTGCACTACGGCAGGAGCGGGCGAACAACAGCTCGAACTCACGAGGCTAAGCGCCAACAGAGTGAAATAAAGAGGGGGAAGAGAAATCGCTAGGCGAACGCCTGGAAGGACCGGACTGCGCAAAGCCACGGAGGAGTGGGAAGGCAAGCCCTGAGCGGGAGTGCGATAGCGCGAGGTAAGGCCAGGGAACTGCTGGTGAGGCGACGGGCACCGAAAAAAGGCCAGCACTGGAGCGACACCAGTGCGCCAGCACGGCAGGCGAATCCTGGGAGGACAAGCGTACCGCACGTCGTGCGTCTAGGGCCCAGGGACCCCAGGGGAGAGGCAGGGAGAAGCCAGAAGAAAGCTCGCCAGCGCGGGGAAGACGAGCGAGGGCGACTGGCGACGAGGAAGCCCGATTCAGCGCAGACCGCCGCGAAAACGTCGCACTGCCAGGTTGACCGAGGGATGATGATGATGCTGATGATGATGCTGATGATGGTTATGCTGCTGCTGCTGCTGCTGCTGATGATGATGATGATGATGATGATGATGATGATGATGATGATGATGCTGATGCTGATGCTGATGCTGATGCTGATGCTGAAGCTGATGATGATGATGATGATGGTGATGATGATGAGGATGATGATGATGATGCTGATGATGACGATGATGATGCTGCTGCTGATGATGCTGATGATGATGTGTTTCTCCAGCAAAATCAGGAGAGCCCCAGATCGAATCGAAGAGTCGAATCGGCGATCGAAATTAATCGGATCGGCGGAAATCGGCAGCCAAGCCAGGAGGAGTCGGATCGGGGGAAATCGGCAGAGCAGTAATGCCTCATTGAGGAATCGGAGTCCAAATCGGAATTCGAAGTCGAATCGAATCGAAATCAGAATCCATCGGAATCGAATCGAATCGAATCGAATTAATCGAAACGAGCCCTGAAAGTTGGCCGAGGAATGGGCCAGGGAGGCGGGCGGCGCGGGGGGTAGGCAGGGCGGGGGCGGCCCGCGACCGGACCCCGCGCAACGACGCCAAGCACTGCACAGGGGGGGGGCACGGAAGCGCCCGGTGATGCCGTGGCACGTGTGCAGGCGGGTGACGCAGCGATTGAAGGGGCCCCAGGACACACAAATCCGCTGATCCGGCGTGTGAGTTTCTGAGAGCGTGGGCTTGAGCTCGCTCAATCTTCGCTCTGGGGGGGGGGTCGGGATCCGGCGAATCATCCACGCAATTCAGTGAACGTTCCAGCGCGGGGGGGGGGTCCAAGAATCGAGGGGGGGGGGGGGAGCTCGAGCAAGGACGGGGAGGGGGTCGAGCTCAAGCGGGGAGGGGGGGTCCAAGGAGGAAGCTCGAGCGGGGACGAGGGGGGGGTCGAGCTCAAGCGGGGGGGGGGGGGTCCAAGAAACCGAGGAGGGCAGCGGGGGGAGGGGGGCAGCGATGGCGGGGGGGGTCCAAGAATCGGGGGGGGGGGAGGGGGGGGGAGCTCGAGCGAGGACGGGGAGGGGCGGGGTCGAGCTCAAGCGGGAGGGGGTCGGAGCTAGAGCGGGGACGGGGGGGGGTCGAGCTCAAGAGGGAGGGGGGGGTCCAGAAACGGGAAGGCAAGCGGGGGGGGGGCAAGCCGGGGGGTTTCAAGACTCGAGGGTGGGGGAGCTCGAGCGAGGACGGGGGGGGGGGGGTCGAGCTCAAGCGGGGGGGGGTCCAAGGAGGAAGCTCGAGCGGGACGACGGGGGGGTCGAGCTCAAGCGGGGGGGGGGGGGGTCCAAGAAACCGGGGAGGGCAGCGGGGAGGGGGGATCCAAGAATTGGGAGGGAGGGGGGGGGAGCTCGAGCGAGGACGGGGGGGGGGGGTCGAGCTCAAGCGAGGGGGGGGGGTCCAAGGAGGAAGCCGAGGGGGACGGAAAAGGGGGTCGAGCTCAAAGCGGGGGGGGGGCAAGGAACGGGGAGGGCAGCGGGGGGGGGTCCAAGAATCGAGGGGGGGGGGGGGGGGGGAACTCGAGCGAGGGACGGGGTGGGGGGGTCGAGCTAAAGCGGGGGGGGTCAAGGAGGAAGCCGAGCGGGCACGGGGGAGGGGGGTCGAACTCAAGCAGGGGGGGGGTCCAAGAAACGGGGGAGGGCGAGAGGGGGGGGGGAGCTCGAGCGAGGACGGGAGGGGTCGAGCTGAAGCGGGGAGGGGGGTCCAAGGAGGAAGCTCGAACGGGGACAGGGGGGTCGGGATCCGGCGAATTATCCACGCAATTCACTGAACGCTCCAGCGCGGGGGGGGGTCCAAGAATCGAGGGAGGGGGGGGGGAGCTCGAGCGAAGACGGGGGGGGGTGTCGAGCTCCAGCGGGGGGAGGGGTTCCAAGGAGGAAGCTCGAGCGGGAACGGAGGGGGGGGTCGAGCTCAAGCGGGGGGAGGGGGGGTCCAAGAAACCGGGGAGGGCAGGGGGAGGAGGGATCCAATAATCGAAAGGGGGGGGGAGCTCGAGCGAGGACGGGGGGGGGTCGAGCTCAAGCGAGAGGGGCGGTGTCCAAGGAGGAAGCTCGGAGTGAGGACGGGGGGGGTCGGGCTGAAGCGGGGGAGGGAGGGTCAAGAAAACTGGGAAGGGCAGCGGGGGGGGGTCCAAGAATCGAGGGAGAGGGGTGGGGAGCTCGAGCGAGGACGGGGGGGGGGTCGAGATCAAGCGGGGGGAGGGGGTCCAAGGAGGGGGAGCTCGAGCGAGGACGGGGGGGGTCGAGCTGAAGCGGGGGGGAAGGTCCAAGGAGGAAGCTCGAGCGGGCACGGGGGGGGGGTCGAGCTCAAGCGGGAGGGGGGGGGGTCCAAGAAACCGGGGAGGGGGGGTCCAAGAATCGAGGAGGGAGGGGGGAAATAAGCTCGAGCGAGGAGAGGGGGGGGAGGTCGAGCTCAAGCGGAGGGGGGGGGTCCAAGGAGGAAGCTCGAGCGGGGACGGGGGGAGGAGTCGAGCTCAAGCGGGGAGGGGGTCGTCGACGTCGTCGTCGTCGTCGTCATCGTCGTCGTCGGTCGTCGTCGTCATCATCGTCCGTCGTTGACCCGGTCGTCGGTCGTCGTCGTCGTCATCGTCCGTTCCCACACGCATCGGGAGCGCCCCGGATCGGCGGCACTGGCCGGAGGCCATTACAATAAATACACACGAATAAACAGATTCCCAATATTTTCCCATATTTTTGGGGTTTTCGTTTTCCCCCCCACTTCCCATATTTTCTAGGGAATCGACGATTAATTGTGTCTGTGTGTTTTGTGTCCCTTCCTGAGTGCAGGCGCGTGACGCAGCGATGGGGCGACGCAACACCTAGAAACGGCACGCCATGAGAACACGACCGGCGGAATGCGGGGGAATGCACGCGAAGGGGGGAACGGATGAGGAGAAGGGGGCCGAAGAGAACGGGGGGAGGGGCGAGCGGGGGAGGGGCGCGGCGGAGGAGATGGGAGGGAAGGGCGAGGAGCAGACGAGATGGACAAGCAACAACATCAACAACATCAACAACAACAACAACAACAACAACAACAACAACAACAACAATTACTAGCACGTGGGGACACTCCGTTCTCACCAGTGCCAGGGTTTTCATAGGAGGCGGGCAATACCCCCACTTTGTGGGGGGGCCGGTTCAAGCTCTACCAAATTTCCAAACGACTCTTCGCCACCACCCACACCCAGCTTCCCGCCCTATGACGTTCGGACACTTCACTTCGTGGCATGCGGACGACCGTGGCTACTATTCAGGGCCCCGCGGCCGACGACGACGGCGTGCGCGCGCGAAGAAAAAACGAATGTGTCCCGCATGGTATTATTTGACAGGGATGATGGCCCTGGCAGGTGCGCAACCGTTGTTGCAGAAGTTCGAAAAAGTTGCTCGCAAAAGCCCGTTTGACAGAAATGTTTAAAAAGTGTTGGGTTTCCTACGAATCCGCAAGAGCGCGCGGGATGAAATTTTGACAAGTTTTTTTTTAAAAACCATTGGTTTTTTATGTTTTTATGTTAAAATCGCTACGAAAACTAAGGTTTTGGAAGGATTTCGTCTTGCGCGCGCGAATGTCCACTTTACCTTATTTTTTGCAAGGGATTCTTGAAGTTTGGTTATGTTAGAACAAGAAATGTCCACTTTAGCTTATTTTTTGCAAGGGAAAACCGATCGTAACAACACAACCGGATCCGGACTCCCCCGTTTTGCCTGAGACTTCCTCACGAAAATGATGAAAATGAGGCTGCGGCCTAGGCGCGCGGGGGGGTCGTGCACCAGGGGACCCAACAATAATTATTCTTTAGAAGTAATAATGTTCAACAACAACAACAACAACTACAACAACAACAACAACAATCATTTTACCCGAACGCGTGGTGTTCTCCCCAGTGCCAGGGTTTTCATACGACACCAGGCAATACCCCCACTTCGTGGGGGGGCATTACAAGCTCTACCAAATATCCAAACGACTCTTCGCGACCACCCAAACCCAGCTTCCCGCCCTATGACGTTGGGACACTTCACTTCGTGGCGTGCGGACGACCGTGGCTACTACACTGGCGTGGGGTACACACCCACAGAACCCAATGGTTTTTGGAGATTTCGGCGTGCGCGCGCGAAGAAAAAACGAATGTGTCCCGCATGGTATTATTTGACAGGGATGATGGCCCTGGCAGGTGCGCAACCGTTGTCGCAGAAGTTCGAAAAAGTTGCTCGCAAAAGCCCGTTTGACAGAAATGTTTAAAAAGTGTTGGGTTTCCTACGAATCCGCAAGAGCGCGCGGGATGAGATTTTGACATTTGTTTGTTGAAAAACCATTGGTTTTTTGATGTTTTTATGTTAAAATCGCTCCGAACACTAAGCTTTTGGAAGGATTTCGTCTTGCGCGCGCGAATGTCCACTTTACCTTATTTTTTGCAAGGGATTCTTGAAATTTGATTATATTAGAACAAGAAATGTCATTTTATAGTGTTTTTTGCAAGGGAAAGCGGGGGGGAACAAAACAACCGGATCTTGATCACATCGAATTACCTGAGGCTTCCTCACGAAAATGATGAAAATGTAGCTGCGGCCTAGGCGGCGCAGGGGGGGGCGCGCACCAGGGGGCCCAACAATAATTATTCTTTAGAATTAATAATGTTCAACAACAACAACAACAACAACAACAACAACAACAACAACAACAACAACAACAACAACAACAACAACAACAACAACAACAACAACAACAACAACAACAACAACAACAACAACAACAACAACAACAACAACAAAAAATTGGGGTGGGGGGCACGATGGAGTAGAGAGGAGGAATGGGCGAGGTGGAAGATTGGAGGAGGGGGGCAGGGGGAAGGGAAGAAGAGGAGCAGCATCGATGGGCAAGCAAGAGGGCGAGCGAGGAGAGAAGGGTGAGGACGAAGTAGGGGGGCAGGAGGACTGGGTGAACGGTTGGGGGGCTTGACGTGCTACTGGGGCCACGGGGGGAAGATGTGGGGGGTCCGGCAGGCGAGGGGCCCCGGAGAAGATGATGATGGAAGTGTGCTGCAGGAGGATGCAGAGGCAGGAGAGGGGGCCAGGGGGGGGGGCGGGAGAGAAGGGCAAGGGCGCGCAGGGAAGGTGAAGTTGCTGGAGGGGGCGCGAGGAAAGGACGAACGTGCAGTCAACCCGCACAGTAAGGATGAGCGACTTCCCGAGGGTACTCTTGCATCCTTACCTCTTCGGTTATCGTCGGTCCATCCTCAACCATTTTCGATGGCCAGCCCCGCTCGAACAGCCTCGGCATGGGCGTCCAAGGCCCTTGCATCCTTACCGCACATCCTTCTCATACGGGTTGGCTCTCAATGTCTCGTAGGGAAGCCGCAGAAATTGTTGTGGGGATGGGGGGCGGCAGATCATGAATGAGGAGTGCGGGGGGGTGGAAGGACCGGCGGCGAGGACGAGTGGTGTAAGCAGGGACGACGGATGAAGAGCAGGAGAATGAACGATGGGGCAAGACTAGGAGTGGTAGCCATGTTGTAGGCCCGAGAGAATGTCTGAGGGAATGCCCACGGCGAAAATCACGAACGAGCGTCTCTGTGGAGATTCCCGTGCTGCGCGATGCATGGGCACACGGCTGGCATAACCAGGTGTGATGGTAGCAGCGTGTCGCCAGGGCTCTCGGAGACGGGACGCGTCCCTGGGGGGAGGGCGCTCGAGTCGTCGAGGGAACCACCCGCTGCCCGAGCGGAATCTCAACGGCGCGTACAATCACTAAGTCGTTCCACGACCTTCTCCCGAAACGGATCGATCCGCGCAGGGCCAGAGCCATGGCTCTGGCAGAGACGGCGGAAGTGCTCACGACGCCTGCATAGGATGGGGCGTGCTTTCAATAGGCAGCGGCTGGGCAAACATCTTGCTTCGAGCGATCCCCACCAGTGAGCTGCTGCGAATCGCTTCGACGATACCATGTTCGCCAATCATCTCGAGCATGCGCGCTTCTTTGCCGCAGTGTCTGACGCTCTTCGTCGCCCACTGCGGAGCGAGGAGCCTCCCCAGGCTTTCTCGACAAGACTCGCATCAACTTGCATTTGAGGGGGGGCGGACAAGGAGTGGGAGGAGGCACGCCTTTTTGATCAGCTTCTTTGCCTCCACGCGTCCGTCCGAATTGTCCATCTGCTGGTCTGTGACCCACGACTGCACGCCGACCTCGGCAGGCACCTGGGGCTGGCGCGCGACGTCGACGATGGTCGCACCCTTCCCTACGGCAGGTTCGTGTCGTGCCGACTTCGGCGTTGGTACCTGACACCGCGGGGATTATCCAACCTTGAGCGATCGGGGGTCATCCAACCTTGAGCGATCGGCTGCTTCCGAAACACCAGATCGCCGAACATCGACCGATGCCGCGTCGCCAGCGGCGTTCCACGTGGAACGCCAGCGGCGGGGCCGGCACCGGTCGGCACGACACGAACCTGCCGCACTCCCCCCTTTACGAGAACGGCGCCCATGCACCGCACCATGCCTGGACTCCGTTCAGGCCCCGCTCCAACGCGGTACGGTGCATAGTTTGTTCGGCTCTGGGGGCCAGAAAACTATGCACTGTACCATTCCTGGGTCGAGGATCGACGACGCCTCGAGAGGCGCCAACGCGGCACGGTGCATACATGCCGTCTGCGGACCCTTGCTCCCCTTCCCCCCGACCGCTCTTTGCGCAGGCGCGACGCGAGCCCAGCGGCGCATGGCCACAGCCCCGCGAGCGACGGGCAGGCCCCGAGCTGGCGGCCCAGCTCGCGAGGGGCGGGGGGCCGCAGCCCGAGCGGCGGAGCACCTGCGGGGGGCCCCGCAGCGCGAGGAGCACCGCGCAGGCGCTGGGGCGTGCCGCTTCGCGGCCGCCGCAAGCTGGAGCCAAAATGGCTACGGGCTCCTGCGTTTCCTCCTCCTCCTCCTCCTCCTCCTCCTCCTCCTCATCATCACTATCATGGAAATCCTCCTCCTCCTTCTCCTCCTGCTCCTCCTCCTGCTCCTCCTCGTCCTCCTCAGCCCAAACCAGCTCAGCCCAACCCAACTCCGCCGAACAACACTCGGTTCGGCCCAGGGCGCCCCGACGGGTGCGCCACTGGGGGGGCAGCCTCCCTGGCCGGAAAGGTGCCGCGCGCGAGGCCTCCTGGATCGGGGGTCCAGCAGCGGGCCCCGCGGCCCCGCGCGCGGGCCCCGCTTCTCGAGAGCTGGGCCCCGCAGGCGCGAGGCAACCTGTGGGGCCGCGCACCGCCCCTTGCCGCCCCGTCCGCCTCGCCCCGTCGCTCCCGCCCTCCGCGCTCGAGGATCGAGACTCCCGCACGCTTCGGCGGGCCACTCCTTTGGCCCACGGGGCCCTCCAGAGGCCTCTGGGGATCTCGCGCTCCGAGGCCTCGGGGAACCTCCCGAGATCTCCGGCGATTCGCGCCCTCCCGCAGTGCGCCCATGCCCCCCCTGCCCCCCCCCCGCCCTTTCTCGTAACCCTCTGCCGGCTTATTCTTTGTTCTTTTCTCTTTTGTTTTCCTCGTCTTGTTGTTTCTTGCCTCCTCGCTCCCCTCCTTCTTGTTCCCCTCCTCTCCCCCCGTTGCTCCTCCATGAGTTCTCTATCAGATCCCCCCCTCTCCCTGATCCCTCTCTTTTCCCCGCCTCCTCGTCAGTAGCCGTCGTGGCTCATGCCAGGGACCTGGGAGGCAGCCGTGGCCGTCTGGCTCATAGCCTCGCGGCTCTGCCGGCTGGGCTCAAGCCCGGTGGCCAGCGCTCGGCAAGGATGGCGAGGGGGGGGCCCAGGGCGGCCCAAAGGCACGGCGGTCTTCGGTGGTCAGGCGCCCCGAGCTCGCCGCGCACCGCGCGCCTGCGGAGGCGGGCGGTCTGGATGGCAGCACACCGGGCTCCTCGTGCAGGCTCGCGGCGAGCCTGGCTCCGGGACAACCCGCCACCTGGCCTCACGGCCCGCCCGGCAGCGAGCAGCGCACGGACCACCTGTCCCCGGAGCGCATCGCCGACGCCGCCCGGCGTCGGCCCCTCCGGCCCGCTGCGGGTGTGCGCTGCGCTTTCGGCGCTGCCGTGTGCCCCGGCCTGGGCGCGGTGCGCTGTGCCAGACGCTCGGCATCACACGACGGCCGCGGCCGGTCGCGGCCTCGCACGGCCAGCGGCAGAGGAGGACGCCTTCCGCCCTGCCCCCAGCGCTGAGTACGAGGTGCGCGGCGACGGCACGAGGGCCCTCGGCGACGGCGAGCGTCCGCCCACGGTGGAGGACCACCGTGCGGACATCCAGGAGATGCCGACGGAGTGCAGGGCGGAGGGCAGTGACGCGCCCCTCGCTGAGGCGCATCTGGAGGCCGCGGTGTCTGCCAGGGCCGCTCCAGGGCCCCGAGAGTGGATGGACGGCCCGAGGGCCCTCGACGAGCAACACGGTCAGGCCTTTCGTTCAGCGACCGCTGGCGCCCAAGCAGCTGGCCGCGGACCAGCTGCAGCGCGAGCTGGCCTGTTGCCGCACGGGGGCCCAACGCACCCCACTAGCGCCCTCTGCGGATCCATGGACACACGCGCGCTTGCAGCTTGCAGCTAAGAAGGTGGCCCGTGGACAGAAGTTTCTCCTCCCGAAACCTGCTCCACCCCTGCTCATACTCTTTCTTCGTCGTCATCGTCCTCGTCGTCGTCGTCCTCCTCCTCCCCCACATCTTCCTACATATCTCCTCCCTCCTCTTACAAAGCCATTCCTCCATCTCCTGCAGGGCAAGATTCGAACCCTTGTCCCCATCATACGTCTCGTCCTTCCACCTCCTCCTCCTCAGCACTTGGTATCGGGTGGGCATGATGTGGTTGTAGTTGACGTACTTCACGAAGGGCTTGACGGCAGACCGCTTCGCAATTTTCTTCTTGCCCATCGTCTTCGTCACCTACAGTTGGGGGGCTGGCTATCCTCCTCCACCCTCTCCCTTTGGACCCAAGTTCTCATCAACAGCACCATCATCATCAGCATCATCATCATCAACACCATCACAAGCATCACCATTATCATCGTCATCGAAATCGCCATCGTCATCGGCATCATCATCATCGTCGCCATCATCATCATAATCATGATCATTACCAACATCATCATCAACATCAACATCATGACCATCACCATCACTAACCCTATACCCCTGAGATTCGCAAGGCGGAGATCATCAAACTCGGGTTTAGGAGAGGATGGACAACTGTTTCCCGGCAGGCCGCAGCACAGAGGATGTTGAAAAGAATGGTCAGGATGTTGATGTTCATGTCGGTGCTGATGATGATGATGATGAGGAGGATGATGATGGTGATGATGAGGGAGAGTGGAAGGGGTTGGGGGAAGCATGTAGTCCTAGTAGTGGTGATAGTAGTAGTAGTTGTTGCTGTGGGGGAGGGAGGAAGGAGGAGAGAGGGAGGAGAGGTGGAGGGATTTTGAAAAAGCGAAATGCAAATCTATCAACTCCCTTGTGACAAACCTATCAGGTCAGAGAGGTGTTCAGGTCCTCGTGTCGGGGGTGGGTCATCTCGTGCATGTTCTGGCGATCGTAAGCCTCGGGAACTAAAACATGTTCGCCCGTGGGGGGAAGGAAAGTAGTAGTCGTAGTCGTAGTAGTTGAGGGTCGTAGAACACATGATGATGAAGTAGTGCTTGTCGTACACGTAGTCGCAGCAGTAGCAGAAGTAGCAGTAGTAGTAGTAGTAGTAGTAGTAGTAGTAGTAGTAGTAGTAGTAGTGGTAGAGGTAATAGTAGTAGTAGTAGTAGTAGTAGTAATAGTAGTAGTAGTAGTAGTAGTAGTAGTAGTAGTAGTAGTAGTAGTAGTAGTAGTAGTAGTAGTGGCATTGGTAGTAGTAGTAGTAGTAGTGGTAGTACTACTACTACTAGTAGTAGTAATAGTAGTAGTAGTAGTCGTAGTAGTAGTAGTAGTAGTAGTAGTAGTAGTAGTAGTAGTAGCAGTAGTAGTAAAAGTATTAGTAGTAGTCGTAGTAGTAGTAATAGTCGTAGTAGTAGTAGTAGTAGTAGTAGTAGTAACAGTAGTAGCAGCAGTCGTAGTAGTAGTAGTAATACTAGTAGCAATCGTAACAATAGTAGTCGTAGCCGTAGTCGTAGTAGTAGTAGTAGTCGCAGTAGTCGCAGAAGTAGAAGTTGTAGTAGTAGTAGTAGTAGTCGCCGTAGTAGCAGTAGTGATACTAGTGCTTGTAGTAATAGTAGCCATCGTAAAGGTAGAAGCCGTAGTAGTAGTAGTAGTAGCAGTAGTAGTAGTAGTAGTAGTAGTAGTAGTAGTAATAGTAGTAGTAGTAGTAGTAGTAGTCGTAGCAGCAATACTAGTAGTGGTAGTGGTTGTAGTAGCGGTACTGATAACAAAAGTCGTAGTCGTAGTAGTGGTATTAGTTGTTGTACTTGTAGCAATCGCTGTAGTAGTCAGAATAGTCGTAGTCGTAGTAGTAATATTAATAGTAGTGGTAGTAATAGACATGGTGGTTGTAGTCGTAGTAGTAGTAGTAGTAATAGTAGTAGTAGAAGAAGTACTAGTAGTAGTAGTAGAAGTAGTAGCATGTCGTCGTCGTAGTAAAGTAGTAGTCGTCGTCGTAGTAGTCGTCATAATAATAGTACTCGTAACAGTAGTAGTAGTAGTAGTCGTAGTAGTAGTAGTAGTAGTAGTCGTAATAGTAGTGGTAGTAGTAGTAGTAGTAGTAGAAGTAGTAGTAGTAGTAGTAGTAGTAGTGGTAGTAGTAGTAGTAGTAGTAGTAGTGGTGGCAGTAGTAGAAGTAGTAGTACTAGTCGTTGTCGTCCTCGTCGTAGTCGTAGTAGAAGTAGTAGTAGTCGTAGTCGTAGTAATCGTAGTGGTAGTGGTAGTAGTAGTAGTAATAGTAATAGTAGTAGTAGTAGTAGTAGTAGTAGTAGTAGTAGTAGTAGTAGTAGTAGTAGTAGTAGTAGTAGTAGTGGTAGTAGTCGTAGTAGTAGTAGCAGTATTCGTAGTAGTAGTATAGTAGTAGTAGTAGTAGTGGTCGTAGTACTAGTAGTCATAGTAGTCGTCGTAACCATAGTAGTAGTAGTAGTAGTAGTCGTCGTAGTAGTAGTGGTAATAGCCGAAGTAGTAGTAGTAGTAGTAGTAGTAGTAGTAGTAGTAGTAGTAGTCGTCGTAGAAATCATAGTACTACTAGTAGTAATAGTAGTAGTGGTAGTAGTAGTAGTAGTAGTAGTAGTAGTAGTAGTCGTAGTCGTAGCAGAAGTAGTAGTAGTAGTTGCTGTTTCCGTGGTATTTGGTGATCGTGAGAATGAGCCTGGTGCTGTTGATGGTGATGATACGGTGAGGGGTTTCAATATACGCTTGGAACTATCCCCACTGATAGTTCGGCCCCGCCGCTCCCCACTACCAACCAAAACTGTGCTGACCGGAAATAACCAACACTCGGGTCTTACGGCGGGATGCTTTATTACTTGGCGCATTCGGTTCCCATTATCACGATCATTATCACCAACATCACCATCACCATACTCAACAATCCATTAATATCATCATCACCATCATCATCATCATCACCACAATCATCATCAGCAGCAACATCATCGTCGTTCCCGCTCTCCAGGGACCTCCAGAATAACAAAATTACCTCCGCGAAAACTGTAAACCCTCTCCTCATCCTCCTCCTCATCATCCCCCTCCACCTTTCATTGCTTCTCCTCCCCTCTTCCGTCTTCCTCCTTCCCTCCTCTCCCCCTCCTACTCATGCTTGTTATCCTTCCCTTTTTCTGTTTCCTCTTCATACTTGCGCAAGCCTCCCTCCTCCTCCTCCATCATCATCCCTCCTCCTCCCTCCTCCTACTCCTCCTCCTCCTCCTCCGTTTCCTACGCTAGTTGTTGGAAACGGCGAAAGGTAAATCTATCAGGTCAGAAAGGTGTTCAGGTCCTCGTGTGGGAGAGGGTCATCTCGGGCATTTTCTGGCGATCGTAAGCCTCGGGGATAAAAACAAGTTCGCCCGTGGGGGGGAGAAAGGTAGTAGTCGTAGTCGTAGTAATTGAGGATAATCTAAAAAGCATAAAGAAGTAGTGCTCGTCGTACTCGTAGTCGCAGTAGTCGCAGTAGAAGCGGTAGTAGTAGTAGTAGTAGAAGTAGTAGTAGTAGTGGAAGTAGTAGGAGTAGTAGTGGTGGTGGTGGTGGTAGTAGTGTCCGTAAATGTCGTAGCAACCTTGGTAGTCGTACTCGTAGTAGTGAGAGTAGTAGTGGCAATAATACTAGTGGTAGTAACACTAGTAGAAGTAGTAATCACAACAGTAATAACCGTAGTCGTAGTAGTTGCCGTCGTCGTAGTAGTAGTAGTAGTAGTAGTAGTAGTAATATGAATAGTCGTAGTAGTAGTAGTAGTAGTAGTAGTGGTAGCAGTAGTAGTAGAGGTAGTACTAGTAATAGTAGCAGTAATAGTCGTAGTAGTAGTAGTAGTAGTAGTAGTAGTCGTAGTAGTAGTAGTAGTAGTAGTAGTAGTAATCGTAGTATTAGTAGTAGTCGTAGCAGTAGTCGTAGTAGTAGTAGCAGCAAAAGAAGAAGTAGTAGTAGTAGTAGTAGTAGTGGTCGTAGCGGTAGTAATGATAATAATAGTCGTGGTCGTAGTAGTAGTAGTAGTAGTAGTAGTAGTCGTAGTAGTGGTAGTAGTAGTAGTTGTTGTACTAGTAGTAGTCGTAGTAGTAGTCGTAGTCGCCGTCGTAGTAGTAATAGTCGCCGTAGTCGTAGTAGTCGTCGTGGTAGCAGTAGTAGTCGTAGTCGTAGTAGTAGTAGTAGTAGTAGTATTACTAGTCGTAGAAGTAGTACTACTACTACTAGTAGTCGTCGTAATCGTAGTCGTAGTAGAAGTCTTAGTAGAAGCCGTAGTAGCGTAGTAGTAGTTGGGGTAGTAGTTGTACTCGTACTAGTAACAATATTAGTAGTAGTAGTCGTAATAGTAGGAGTAGTAGTAGTAGTAGTAGTAGTAGTATTTGTAGTAGTAATACAAATAGTAATAGTAGTCGTCGTTGTCGTAATAGTAGTCGTAGTGGTAGTGGTAGTAGTCGTAGTAGTAGTAGTAGTAGTAGTAGTAGTAGTAGGAGTAGTAGTCGTAGTAGTAGGAATAGTAGTAGTATGAATAGTAGTAGTAATAAAAATAGTAATAGTAGCCGTCGTAGTCGTAATAGTAGTCGTCGTAGTAGTGCTAGTAGTCGTAGTTGTAATAGTACTAGTAGCCGTAGCAGAAGTAGTAGTCGTAGAAGTAGTAGTAGTAGTAGTAGTAGTAGTAGTAGTAGTAGTAGTAGTCGTTGTAGTAGTTGCTGCCTCTGTGGTATTTGTTGATCGTGAGAATGAGCCTGATGATGCTGGTGGTGATGATGATACGGTGAGGGGATTCAATCTACGATTGGACCTTTCCCCACTGATAATGGAGTTCGGCCCCGCCGCTCCCCAGCACCAACCAAAACTGTGCTGGCCGGAAATGATCAGCACTCAGGTCTTACGGGGGGATGCTTTATTACCTGGTGCATGCGGTTACCATTATCACGATCATCATCACCAACATCTCCATCATCATACTCAACAGCCCCATTAACATCATCAGCCTCATCATCATCATCATCATCATCATCATCATCATCATCAGCATCATCATCATCACCAAAATCATCATCAGCAGCATCATCGTCGTTCCCGCTCTCCAGGGACCTCCAGAATGACCAAATTACCTCCGCGAAAACTGTAAACCCTCTCCTCATCCTCCTCCTCATCATCCTCCTCCACCTTTCATTGCTCCTCCTCCCCTCTTCCGTCTTCCTCCTTCCCTCCTCTCCCCCTCCTACTCATGCTTGTTTTCCTTCCCCTTCTGTTTCCTCTCCATACTTGCGCAAGCCTCCCTCCTCCTCCATCATCCTCCCGCCTCCTCCCTCTTCCCTCCTCATCCTGCTCCTCCTCCTCCTTCTACTCCTCCTCCTCCACCTCCACTTCCTCTTCCTCCTCCTCCTCCTTCTTCTCCTCCTCCTCCTCTTCCTCCTCCTCCTCCTCCTCCCCCTCCTCCATTCCTCCTCGTCCTCCTCCAGTCGTCCTCCTATAGATCCAGATCATCGCACCCCTCCTCCTTCCCCCCTCAACCATCTTCCCGCTCCTCCTCTCCCTCCTCCTCCTATTTCTCCTCCTCCTCCTCCTCCTCCTCCTCCTCCTCCTCCTCCTATCTCGTCCTCCCTTTCCTCTTGATCATCCTCCCCACCGTCCTCGTCTGCCTTTCTCATTCGTCCTCCTCCGCTTTCCCCTCATCCTCCATCTCCTAAGTCACCCCCGCTTCCCCCAACTCCATCCCTCCTCCCCCTTCTCCTCCCCTCCAAATTCCCTTCCAGCCCCCTCTACCTTCCCATGTTCTCTGCTTACTCCTCCCTTTATCTTCCACTCGTCCTCCTCCTCCTCCTCCTCCCCTTCCGTCTCCCCTCTTTGTAATTCTGCTCCATCCTCCCCCAGCTCAGAGCGCTCAGTCAGCGGACCTGCAGAAGCCTTCCAGAACCACAGGAAACCCAATCGAGCAAAAGAATCTCTGCACACACTGACACACAGAAGAATACACGCTCCAAAGAAAGCATGCCGTCGATGATATATTTCTCAGCCGCCTCTCATTGCTTCTCCTCCCCCCTCCCCCCTCTCCGTCGTCGTCGCCGTCGCCGCCGTCGTCGTCGTCGTCGTCGGCGTTGTCGGCGTCGAAGGCTCTCCTCTTCCATTCCCCCCCCGTCGTCGTCGTCGTCGTCGTCGTCGTCGTCGTCGTCGTCGTCGTCGTCGTCGTCGTCGTCGGCGTTGTCGGCGTCGAAGGCTCTCCTCTTCCATTCCCCCCCGTCGTCGTCGTCGTCGTCGTCGTCGTCGTCGTCGTCGTCGTCGTCGTCCTCGTCGTCGTCGTCGTCGTCGTCGTCGTCGTCGTCGGCGTCGAAGCCGGCGTCGGTGGCGGAGCGCATCGTCGCAGGTCGCCTTGAGGGGTGCGCGGTCCACGCCCGCGACGAGGCAGTGGCCGAACGGCCGCGCCCGCGACCCGTCGTCGAAGGGCTTGACCACGATGGCCTTCTTGCCCGTGTACCGGCCCTGAGGATCGGGGGCTGCTGAAGCCACGCCGCCTCGCTTCTATAGATCAGGGGGGCGTGGTAGCAAAACCGGTGCTACGACGAGGCCAGGGCGAAGATAAAATCGGGGAGGGATCAATCGGAACTATCTGAGATCGGGCGGCTCTGGAGGATGCCTCGAGCGCCGAGGCCTTCTCACAGCGTTCAGGAACGCTCTGAGAATGTTCCGGGACGCTCTGGAACGGACGTATCCTCGTCCAATCCCCGTGCTAAGTGCCCCCACAATCTGCCCCAAGGTGGGCGAAGCCGGCGTCCGGATTTTCCCGAGCGCGCCCGATTGTGACCGAACTCTTGGCTCAAAGCCAACGCAGTCTTCAAATTCGGTCAAGACGTCGATCGCACCAACATGTTCGGGCGCCTCTTCGCTGACAAAATTGCTCCAGCTGCAAGCCGCTTCGACGAATAGGATTAGGTCGGGCATGTCATCCTACAGGCGGATCTTGAACGAAAAATAGAACATATGCAAAACATGCTCAAACGTACTCGGAAATACTAAAACATCGCCCTCTGAGCATATTCGTACTCTTCTTGAATACTCCTCCTGTCGAGGGACAGGGCCCGACTTCAGAATAGTCGGCGGTGGACAAACCTCCCTTTAGTAGACCTCATCTTAGTGAAAACGGCCAGGGACCGAAACAGACGAACCTGGACCCGCAAAAATGACGGCCGCGACGCCCTCTCGCGAAGCGAAAACGGTCAATTCCTTAATCGACGTGTCAGGGCAGGAGGTCTGCCCACCCCCCACTCTGCTCCCCCGTGTTCGGGGCGCTCTGGAGGCCGCCTCCGTCCGTGGATCCAGGGACTCCTCCTTGGGTCGGGCGTGTCCGCCTACAGGCGGATTTCTTTTGTTGCTGTTTTTGAACACCTCTCCTGTAGAGGGGCGGGCCCGACTTACACTTGGTGGGCCCTGAAAACCACAGGGCCGCTTTTGTTACCAATTCCGTTTTGTATTTGGTTTGCCAGTTCCGTCACCGGTTTTGCTGCCGGTTCCGTCGCCATTTATTGTTTACCGATTCTGGTTCCAACTTATAATCCTGGAGCCGTTTTTGCCGATTCCCGGTCGCTGTTTTTTATTATACCGCCCATCTTCAAAAGACACATTTTCAAAAAACGGTGAAAAACCGGCCCTGCCGTGTCCGGGGCCCACAGGAACACTTCTGGCAACACCCGAGAGGAGGACGAAGGGGGGTAGGAGAAAGACTGGACGCCTCTGGCTCGTGTATGGCTTCCGTGGGCCTCACCAATGAGTCGCCCCTGGGGGCCTCTGGAGGATGCCTCCAGGGAGTCCCGGAGATGTCCAGGGACTGCCCAGGATGGACAAGAGAAGGCGCATAAACAGATCTTGACCATGTTCGCACGCGCTGGCCCTGCTGCGTCGCCCTCGTGGCCGCGGCCAGACGCAGGCCAGAAATCGGGCCAGGATGGTGTCCAGGAAGGGTATTCGGAAGGCCCCAGACCCTCTGGCGTTGCGAAAATCCGCCACCGTGCCCCCTGGCACGCTGCGGCGTGCCAGAATGCCAGGTACTGTCTGGTAGGGCTTCTGTACTCTTCCAAGAGGCACCCGCCTCTCGGGGCCGCGGACGGCTTCGTGCACCGCCCATGCTCCCAGGGGGCCCCTGGGCGGCCATGGCGCCTCACGTGGGCTCTCCAAGGCTTCCATGGCGGCCAAGGAGGCTCTCAAATCGCCGAACGATCGCTCGATGACGCCCAAGATGGCCTCAAGATGGCCTGAAGACGGCGCAAGAGGCTTCCAAGGCGCCACAAGATGCCTCCAAGAGGTCTCCCAAAAGGGCTCCCAAAGGCAAAAGTAATTGATTTGCCATGCGTTCTTGAAAGATGTTGGCGTTCTCGCCTTTGCGGCTCTCCGACGCTCCAAGAAGGCCCAAGAGGCCCCCAAGACCACCCCAAAACGGCCCAAGAGGCCTCCAAGAGGGCCTCTTAAAACGGCCTACGAGCGCCCCACGACGGCCCAAGAAGCGCCCAAGAGGACCCCCAAAGGGGCCCCAGGGAGGGAACACGAACCGAAAATCCGAGCCTTCCGCCCCAAGTGGCGCCCCTAGGGACCCCAAGAGGCCCCGAGGAGGCCCCAAGAGGCCCCCAGGGGGCCCCAGGGGGCCCCCAGGAGGCCCCCAAGAGGCCCACAACCTGGCGGCCCCCATGAGGCCCCAACGCGGCCCCCCCAAGAGGCGCCGAACCTGCCTCCAACGAGATTCCACTGCGCTCCTCTGGTGCCCCCTCGAAGGGAGAGCCGCCGAGCATGCTGGGCTTGCCCGGTGGCCCGGTGGCGGGACCTGCCGCAGGCAGCCGGGGCAGCAGGCGACGGCCGCGCTCTCAGACTGCTCGGTCTTTGGGAGGCCCGCTGCGGGCCCGGGGCCACAGCGTGGGCCCAGGGCCAGCATGAGCAGCTCGGGGAGCAGCGCAGGTCGCGGGCAGGGGGTGAAGAGCTCTGGGGCCAGGCGGAGGAGGAGGGGGAGGAGGAGGAGGAGGAGGAGGAGGAGGAGGAGGAGGAGGAGGAGGAGGAGGAGGAGGAGGAGGAGGAGGAAAGGAGGAGGAGGGGGAGGAGGAGGGGGAGGAGGAGGAGGAGGCGGAGGAGGAGGCGGAGGAGGCGGATGGGGGAGGAGGAGGAGGATGAGGAGAAGGGGGAGGAGGAGCAGAGGGAGGAGGAGGGGGAGGAGGAGCAGAGGGAGGAGGAGCAGAGGGAGGAGGAGGAGGAGGAGGAGGAGGAGGAGGAGGAGGTGGAGGAGTGGCCACCCCACCATGGGAGGCCACGACGGGTGGCTGCGATGGCTGGCCACGCTGGGCCGATGGGCCACCGATGTTGGGGGCCACGGCTCCCTCGCCGGGCGAGGGAAGAATGATCCACCACCGCGCCCGCCGCACGCAGAAGGACTGTCGGGATGTTCTGAGTACGGTTAGAGTCCTTTTCTCTAAGGTGTTCGAAGGCCGACCCCGCCCCCTGCGAGCGCGCGCACACGAGAACAAAAACCCTCTCAGAGGCCGAATTTGACAAGTTCCCATGCTACAGGAAGGAGCCGACCCTGATCAGCTCGACTACACGCAGGAGTGACCCTGGGTAAGAGCGACCTTTGCTGCGCGGCTTTTTGGGGGTCGCGGGGGGCTCAAACACCAGCGCGCGAGACGCCACTATCGTCTCGCGCTCGGTGATCGGGGGGCCACATTGGGCCCGCACTAAAAGGTCACTCAGGCGAAAGGTCACTCTTATGTGTAGTCGACCAGTTCCCATGCTGCAAGAAGGAGCCGGCCCCTCCCCCCGAGAGGGTCAAAACAGGCCTCCCGAGGGGGGGTCAAACCTGGCCCCGCCGAGGAGCGCCCAAGTGGCGCCAAAAGGCCATCAAGAGGCCCCCAAGAGGCGCTCAAGACACCCAAGATGCTCTGAAGACCACGAAGAGGCCGCAAAGACATGCCACGAGGCTCCAAAAGGCCCCCACGGCGCCCCGCGAGGCCCCGCAAGAGCCGCCAGACGGCCCCCCAATACGCCAAAAGAAGCCTCCAAGAGACCCCGAAAGATATCCTAAGAGACTCCGAGAGCCATCCGAGAAGCCCCCAAAAGCTCTCCAGACGATGCCACGCTCCCCCGAGAACGAAAGCCCCCCCTGGGCATCAGACCCGGATGAGCTGGTGGGGATGCGCGAGGCGTTCGGAGTTCAAGGTCATTTCTGCTACGCTGTTGCACAGGCGCGGTGCTGGGGTGTGCCACAGGCAGCTGGACACACACACACACACACACACACATATATATATATATATACATATATATACACATATATATACAAATGTATACGTAGATAGAGATGTATATATTTTCTTATATATATACACATGTGTATATGTACTGTATGCATACATACACGTAGATGTATATCTCCATACCAACATGCTGTCTAGGGCACCAGCACTCAACCGTCGGAGGTCCGCGCGGGGCTCTTGAGTCGGCGCTTGCGCGCGAAGCGAACGAGGCGGGGCGCTGGAGAGGCGCCGTAAGCGGGAGGTGCAACACCCATGCAAGATATCCGCGCAGACCCCCGAACGGTATGTCTATGCTGTGCCTACTCTTTCCTCAGTGCGGGATGACGATTAATAAAAAAATGGGCGAGAACGGTTAGAAAAATAGTTTCCTGCTATTTCTGCAATTTTCTGACTGGAGGAAAACAATTAAAAAAATAGTTTTCCAGCCCGCGGCCGGTTTTTTCTAATAGTCATCCCCGGCGCCGCCGCGTGAACACGAACCCCGGTCATTTATTCATCGTCATCCTCCATTACGCTAGCCCAGCTGCCAACTCTTTGTGCGTACTGTGTCGCCAGCGTGCGACTTGCTCTTTGATGGTTGTTGTGTCTCTGCCAATGATGCGCCGTCGTAGGTTTGGCTCGCTGTTGCTGATGCTCCGCCAACAGCGTCTGGAGACGTTTGAAAACATCCCGGGAATCCGCTACAAACTTTTGTGGGGGCCCGCGACAAGCCGAGGGGGCTTCAGATTGCCTCCGCCAAATGGAACTCCGATTGCCTCCGACGCATCATCCTCTTCCTTCTCCCCCTCCACGACTCCCACTCGCTCCCCCGCCCCTCCTCCTCTCCCCTCCGCCGCCCCAGCCTGGAGAAGCACGACGACGCGGCCAGCCTTGATGAACTTGCCCATGCCAGCCGGACTCAATCCGACACAGGGGCTAGCCGAACCAAACCCGCGGCGGCTCGCAAGGCCGCTGCTTAGCTGACACCTGTAGGCCAACTGGCTGCGTATCCATGGAAGGAGTGGAAGAAAATGACGAGTACACTCATTGATTCGTGACAAGTTTGTGTCCCGTCAACCATGCCTCCGTATTCACGGCGTGGCCCACAGATTGCAGTGCAGACGCCAGGAAGTTCAGCGTGAGATTGCATGGTCCAAACTTAACAGCGAGGCCGACCGAAACCGTCCCAGGAGACCGACAAAAGGGAAGCGAGAGGGAGCGAGACAGCGGGAGGGACACACGAGTGACAGGAGACGAAGGAACATATAGATCTTAGATATCAATTTCCTGCTAGCCTCCAGTCACATGCGGTGCATTCCACTTTGTTACATTTCGCACCGACATGAGGAAACCAACTCTTCCGTGGAATCGTACGTATCACCGACGCCGCCACCGCCTTCGCCAGCTGCCTTGGACAGCACAGCTTACGTGCATCAAGTTGCCCGGCTTGCACCTCAGAGCCTGCACCAGAAAGCGTCCGCCACACACGTTGCACCACGAAGGCCGCGCCACGCGAACGGCACCATAAAAAGCTCGCGCCGCACGGATTGCAACCCGCAGCGCCTGGCACAGATGTGTCTTCTCCCCTATAAAACAAGGCTAGGATCGGGATAAATCGCTCCAGAGCGTTCCGGAGCGCTCTCAGAGCGTTCCGGAACGCTCTGGAGCGGCCGCGGCGCCCAATACATCCTCCAAACCCGCCGATTCTCAGAGATTTCGAGTTATCCCAATCCGATGTTGTCCCGATCTTCGCGTCGTTTGACCCTACGCCGAGGCCACCCTGGACGGCATCCCTCCGCGCCTGGCGTATGTTTTTTGTCATGACTCTCTGCACGGCCGCGCCCTCCTGCCCAGGACTTGGCCCAGGAGGCGCCGGACCCAACGAGAACGCGCACCAGGGGCCGCCCCGGCGGCAGCCGCTCGGGCCCGCGGGCCCGCGTTGGGCCCCCCATTCCCTCCCACCTCGGAGAGGGTGGGGCCGAGGCCACGATGGCCCCTGAGGTAGAGATGAGGAGATAAGACGCGTCGGCACCGCAATCCAGCCAAGGACTAAGAGGAGACGACTGACTTGAGGAGGAGTTCATCGAGGACCACACCAATTGCCCCTGGTTTGGGAGGGGTGCTTACCCTCACCAGCTCGCTTCCGATTTTGACTGACGGTGGGGGCTACTTGGCACCCCGAGGCAAGCTTCGGCAAGCTTGCAAAACCGTGCCGTCTCCGTCATGCATCCGCAAGGCATGCAGATGTGGGGGGGGCGGCGGGGAGAGGGGAAGGGGGAAAGGGCAGAGGCCAGGGGGAGGAAGGGGAGGAGGAGGAGAGGGAGCGCGAGGAACCACGGGAGGGGGAGGAAGGGGAGCAAAGGGAGGAGGGGGATAGGGGAGGAGGCAGAGGAACGGGGAGGAGGTAGAGGAGGGGGAGCGAAGAGACGAGAAAGGGAGGCGAACAGTAGTGGGCCGTGGGCTTTGCACTAGGCGTGCTCCTGGCTGACGCAGCACAGCGAGACAAGCATATTACTGCTGTGGTAAGACAAGGTGGGGATCTGGGGGACGTAAGACTCGGGTTCGGGGGACTCGGATTGGCCTGACGGGGCCATCATGAAAATAAAGAAACCCACTCTGAACATTGACGCGAACTCCAGCCACAAAAATCCCTCGAAAGCTGGATCGTTAAAATCCAGGACACGCTCGTCAAAAAGCGTCGGCGAACCCGAATTCCGGCGCACTCGAGACTTACGGTATCCCGAGAGGAGACCAGGCAAGCCGACCAAAGAGAGAGAGAGAGAGAGAGAGAGAGAGGAGGATGTGCAACACGATCCGCGTCTGCCCCAGCGTGCCCAGAAAAGGCCGTCCAGGGCGCGTGGGGTTGATGTGGCACGCGCTCAGCCCTCGAGGGGAGGGGGGAGGACGGAGGGGAGGGAGGAGGGGAGGGAGGAGTGGAGGGGGAGGAAGCAGGGGAGGAAGGAGGGGAGGGAGGAGGGGAGGGAGGAGGGAGCGAAGGAGGGAGGGAGGAGAAGCACGGGAGATGAGTGGACGACGGAGGAGCCGGGCGAGGGGAGGACGGGGGACGGGGGACGAGGAGAGGGGAGGCGAGCCGAGGAGCAGAGCGGAGGAGCAGGAGCTCCCCCCCCCCCCCCCCGTTCCCTCGGGCCAGGGCGGGGCCGGCCCATCGAGTCTGTGCTCCCGATCGCCGCGCGCGCGCCCACGCGACCCGCCGCCGCGGCGGGGGGACGTCGGGAGGCCGCCGCCGCCCTTGGCGGCGCGCGCGCGCACGAGGGGGGGCGGGGGCGGGGAGGACGGGGAGGTTCGAGGGGCTGGGCGTCGAAGAGGCCCAGAGGGCTTCCGGGAGGGCAAAGGGGGCTAGTTGGAGCGCGCACGAGGGGGGGCAGGGGCGGGGAGGGGGGAGGTTCGAGGGGCTGGGCTTCGAAGAAGCCCAGAGGGCTTCCAGGAGGGCCAGGGGGCTAGTTGGAAGCCCTCGCGGCTTCTGAGGAAAACTCCTTGCCCCCCCCCCCCCCTGGGCCATTCAGACAGAAGCCCCCCCTGTCTTCTCAGAAGCCCCCCGCCTTCCTGAACGTTTCTGCATCTTCGAGTCAGTCTGGGCGCAGCGGGCGTCATGCTATGGGACGGGCCATCTCCGCCTCTGGCTTGTCCTTCTCATCCTCGTCGTCATCGTGTTTCTCCTGCCCCTCGTGCAGCATGCTCGATTCCAAAATCTCTCCCCCACGGGCATCTCCAGGGCTGCAGTCTGACCAACACCTCGCATGGTGTTCCTGCCGTGGCGACGAGACGACCCCCCCCCCCAGAGGCAGAGGCCCTTAAAAAGGGCGAAGGGCCGACAGAGACCTCGATCCTCAGGCCCCGGACCAGTGTCAGGGGATGGCGACAACACCACCAGCGGGAGGGTCCATAGGGGGGGGGAAGCCTCCTCGCAGCTGTGACCCCCCCCCCGTCTCGCACGAGACCTCCCCCATCCCAAAGCTCGGGGAGGCATCGTGGACCGCCTTGCCGGAGGTGGTCCTCCTGGGTGGCGGTGGCATCGCCTCGCCTTTGTCCGACGAGCCCGCCTTCTCGCTGCCCGCGTCCTCCTCCGATCTCTCCTCCTACCTCTCCTCCTACCTCCGTCCGACGCCGAGAGGTGGCGCCGGCAGCT